CCCAACAATGAGGAGAAGGCCAACACTCGTCTGTTTGCTGAGAACGTCAGCAAGTTGATGTGTCACGACTTGGGCGTCCTCCAGTCTTACTACTCATTCGACGACGTTCCGCTGATGCGAGTGGCCAGCTGCATTCGCCTCTTTCGAAGTCCGGCGTGCATTTCATTTCTTAAACTCTGCTACAAGGTACTGCAGAAGAAGANGCGTCCTCCAGTCTTACTACTCATTCGACGACGTTCCGCTGATGCGAGTGGCCAGCTGCATTCGCCTCTTTCGAAGTCCGGCGTGCATTTCATTTCTTAAACTCTGCTACAAGGTACTGCAGAAGAAGATGCAATTGGAGGAGGCCAACAAAAAGGTGAGTGGTGTTGACTGGGCTTTTGGCGAGATTAATCCAAGTTTTGCACTGTTTCACTAAAGATGATGCCAAGCAAAGGAGCAGTGAAGGACGCGGTCAGCAGTTCTGAGCAGCATCCAGTTGGCACAGTGCCCAGCTCGCTCAACCCTACTCCCGGCGGCATTCTGGGCGTCGGAGAGGCGGACATTGACCACGCTCAGGCGGCGGCAGAGACGTACTATGCTCGAAACTTTCGACTTTCCGGTCGTCTTTCGGCCATTCTAGAGCGCGAAAAGCTCGTTTCCCATCGCTGGGACAAGCCAACTGCTGGAGCCCCGCCAGCACCATTCTCCACTGATGGACATCCCAGTGGTGACGAGTATCAGCATCTGCCGATAAGCGGTGTTCGCCGCAAGCGATTTAGCCAGGAGCAGGCGTCACCGCCAATGGGCGTCCTGGAGAAGAAGCAAGTGCGCATCTACAATGCCTTCTGTCAGTTTATTGAGCACTGTCTGACGCACCTGGAGACTCGATTCGAGTACCGAGTGATCGAGTCAAGCGACGACCTCATCAGTCTGCTCGATCTAAAGGGCTACGCTCGGGCGCGTGGCGTGGACTCGCTCGTCGGCTCGCTCCGACTGGACACCGTCCTGGGCGACCTGATCAAGATTATGGAGCACTCGGTGAAGAGCGCCCCGGTGACCACCGTCCACCTGCTGGTCATTCTCCACCTGTGCGACGTGCGCGAGCACAGCCTGTGGGCTCGTCTGGAGGCTGCGGTGACTCTGCTGGACATGGCCCGAGAGGCCACCAGGACGGCACAGGCGGAGAATGGCGCCCTGCAGCTGCAGCCCAGCGCCAGCACTGCCAGCACCTCCTCGAAGAGTGGACGCAGTGTGTCGAGCGATCCGGAGACGCCCTTGCTCAACCTGGACGAACTTCGCACACTGCTCTGGTTTTCACTGGGACTGCAGGAGTGCAATGATCAGTTTTTTGTGAATCGCCACTTTGATCTCAAGTTTTTGCGCACCAACCTCACTCGCATCTTTTACCGTGCAGTGGTGGAGAATGCCGCGCAGCTGCTTGAATGAACGGGTGGTGCATTCAATTTTAGAAAACTTGTTGCAAAATTTGAATTTATAAGTTTAACAATGCTAGTGTTTAGCTCTATAAATACCTGAAATAAACACTTGCTTGTTCACTATTTGTTTTAGGTTTTGTCACTTCCAAAATGGCTCGTGCCACACAGCCCAAGACTAGCACATGGCCTTCTACAACGAACACTGCAGGAAATACGGTATTTGAAATCTGATGCCCTGGTTTTCAACACTAACTATCTTTATACTCAACAGACTGCTGATCACAATTTGACAACGACAGCAGCTCACTCAGCCAGCTCAGCTTTCAACTACGACTTTTACCTTGTCATTGCATTTGTCTGCTGTATAGTTCTTGTTGCACTGGTCATTGCTCTAGTGTTCTACTACTGCATTAGCAGATTGAACAGCTCAGACAGCAGCCCCTCAGAGAACTCCAAGTCAGCCAAGGCTCGGCGAAAAGCGAAGAAGCAGTTTAAAAAGAAAAAGGTGAAGCAGTGCAGTTTGGTGGTGGCGGGCAAGCAGCTCTCTCCCAGCGGTGGACAGGGCAGCAAAGCAGCGGTGGCCAACCAGCACTCCAAGCCGTCGACCGTCTCCAGGCCTCTAGGTCTGCAGCCGTCCACTGCCAAGTCCAAGGGAACACTGGCAGTGGGAGGAGGCAAGTCGGCGGCCGTTCTGGCCGCCAGCTCCTCCGCCGGGCCAGTCGCTGCACTGCCCTCCAAGCGGACCGCAGTGAAGGCTCGCCCCAGCAGCAAACAGGGAGTCCCGAGGAAGGTAAAGAAGTCCAGCTCGGTATATGCACCGCCGCCGGTAGACACTCGCTTCGGCACACTGGACCCCAAGCTGCTGATTGACATTGACATTGACCAGCCTTCAAAGAGTGCCCTGGACAGCACCGCCAGCAGTGTTAGCGTCTACAGTCAGAACATGTCAGTCTCGGCACTGCTCAAGAAGAGCTCGACGCGTGCCAAGGCCAGCGCAGCACCATCCAAGCACCAGCTGCAACACAAGCGTCAGCGCAAACCCAAAAAGACGGGCTAAAGGCTACAGGCCCCCTTCAGTGGTTGATGCATTTCCAATTTAATCACAAATTAAAAGCCATTTCACTGCCTCGTTTCAGGTACTCTCGCACAAATTTGTAGCTGAAAGTACATGTGCAAAACAGTTTAGGGATATCTCTCAACAATGATTCCGTGACCCTGCAAAAAAAAGGAATTATTTAACAAAAGTTAACGAAATCCCCTACTACTACTCACAATTCCACCGGCAGCACATGCTGCAACAAAAGCAAGTCGACCATTCTCGGCAATCAGACGATTGGCTGCCGTCGTCACTAGTCGCACACCAGTGGCACCAAATGGATGACCAATGGAAAGCGAACCTCCCCAGGTGTTAAACTTGTCCATGCTGGGCGCGCCCACCTTTTCAGAGCGCTTCATGAATGTTTTTGCAAAAAAGTCACAGTCTAACGCTTTGAGGTTGGCAAGAATCTGTCCGGCAAAAGCTTCGTGAAACTCCCAAACGTCAATGTCCTTTACGTTTAAATTGGCTCTTTGTAGAAGTTGAGCAGTGACGTACGCTGGCCCGAGCAGCAGTTGATCCTTGGGGTCCTGCGACACGTACATGTGCTGCCGAAGGTAAGCTTTGGGCTTGAGGCCCAGCTCTAATGCTCTTTCCTCGGTGGTGATCAGACAAGCCGTGGCACCGTCCGTCAGAAAGCTGGAGTTGGCCGCCGTTGCAGTGCCATGAGGCTTGATGAAGGCCGGCTTGAGACTGCTAACCTTTTCATAGGTCGAAGGACGAATGCCATTGTCGCGAGTGATGAGGCCTTTGCCCGGAACAAAAGTGGGCTCAATGTCGGACAGTTTTCCCTCTTTGAATGCTTTATCGGCCAGAGAGTGGGAGCGAAGGGCATACTCGTCCTGTTCCCGGCGCGACACCTTGAAAGAGGCAGAAAGACGATCATTTGACTGGCCCATTTGCTCGCCGGTGAAAAATTCGCTGATAGATGGAAGTTCCGGAGCAAAATAGTCTGGTCGAATCTCCTTCAGTATGCTCAGTCGGTCTTTGGTAGTTTTGGCCTTGTTTAGCTTTAGCAACATTCGACGCATCTTTCTCGAATGCCGAATGGGCACGTCGCTCATCGTCTAGGTAAACGAATTGTTGAAAAGCTCTGGAATTAAAAACATCATTACCTCAACACCTCCAGCAACGACCACGTCATAGGTGCCCGAGTTGATGTAGCCAATTGCACTAGATATTGCCTGGTTTGCAGAGACGCAAGCCTGAGTGACAGTGTTCGCCGGAAGGTTTAGCGGAAGTCCAGCGGCTGTTGTAAAAAAAGTTAATAATAGTCATTTGCAATCTGGAGACATACCCAAAACTGCCTCTCGGGCAATGTTTGGAGTGGATGCTTCGGGAATAACTGTGCCGCATATGACATAGTCGATTGCCTCTTTGGGGATGTTGACTCGCTTCAAGAGGCCACTGTGCAAAAACATGAAACATGATCAACTCAATATTTTGCATCCTTTCCTCCATANATAGGTGCCCGAGTTGATGTAGCCAATTGCACTAGATATTGCCTGGTTTGCAGAGACGCAAGCCTGAGTGACAGTGTTCGCCGGAAGGTTTAGCGGAAGTCCAGCGGCTGTTGTAAAAAAAGTTAATAATAGTCATTTGCAATCTGGAGACATACCCAAAACTGCCTCTCGGGCAATGTTTGGAGTGGATGCTTCGGGAATAACTGTGCCGCATATGACATAGTCGATTGCCTCTTTGGGGATGTTGACTCGCTTCAAGAGGCCACTGTGCAAAAACATGAAACATGATCAACTCAATATTTTTCATTTTTTTCTCCATACNAATAATAGTCATTTGCAATCTGGAGACATACCCAAAACTGCCTCTCGGGCAATGTTTGGAGTGGATGCTTCGGGAATAACTGTGCCGCATATGACATAGTCGATTGCCTCTTTGGGGATGTTGACTCGCTTCAAGAGGCCACTGTGCAAAAACATGAAACATGATCAACTCAATATTTTGCATCCTTTTCTCCATACCCCCAACTTACACCAGTGCATCACGTTGCAGCTCGTAGCCCATTAAATTGTTGTAGTCGGTGCTGGACAAGGTGAACGGCGTTCTGACGCCCTCAACGAGAACGATGTTCTTTCCAAATCGGGCATTGTCAAACTTGTAACCATCACTGCCAGATGAAACGTGTGGTGCTTTAGCGGTGGCACTTGCCGCTGTTCCTGCGGCACGGCTAGATGTGGTCAGCAGGTGAACTGCGAAACGATTCAAGTTTGCCCTGGACAGCATTTTGACGCGACAGCACAGACGATGACAGTGTCAAGTGAGCAAATGAAACCACGGAAATGATGCATGTTGAGTAGTCTAGTATACCAGTGGAGTTCTGTACATGTGTACTCGTGCAAAGGCAGAGAGCTTATGGGTGCTGCTGTGTTGGTAGTGTTGGTAAACAGTAAGGCCTGCCTATGGCAAAATGATAATGGACGATATTATCTCAATTGATAGCCATACATATGTTGCTTAAACCAATGACCTGAACTTGTTTTGACTGGGAAAGTGCTCGAGACCGCAACATTAAAAGCTGATTTCTTTGCAGTAAAGAACAATTTTTAACTCTCACAACTTAACACTCTAAAAGTAAATCTTCACAATTTGTACACAGCTATACCACCAGATGTACAACAAACTTTATTCAATTTAATGCACTTGCAGACTTGTACTTTGAAGCCATGTCAGATCAGTGGGTAGGGAATAGTACAGAAAGAAGAGTGCTAATTGTATGCATTAAAAATAGTAATTGATCTGATCGTTGATTTAGTAATTTCTAAGCAATAAATATAAATAAAAACACATTCAGTTACAGGGCCAATGATGAAATTTGAGTGGTGCTCTTCAAGGGTAGCGCTCGACGATGATGCCATGGCCCTGAAATAAATACAATCATGTTAGAGATTTATACTACAGAATGAAACCGGGAAAAACTTTAAAGTCTTCTGTCCTGTAAATCTCTCAGACAGTCAAATTACTTTTGCACTATAAATCAAATGTTCAAATTACTTGGAAAATCCGGTTGCGGAAACCACTTGAACACAGTATTGATATCATAGGCGGAACAGCACATTTATAAAGTGAAATATAAATACTTACGATTCCGCCAGCGGCACAAGCGGCAACCAAAGCGATACGTCCATTTTCCTTGGCCAATCGATTAGCAGCAGTAGTGACCAATCTAATTCCGGTAGCGCCAAAGGGGTGGCCAATTGAAAGGGATCCTCCCCACGTGTTGAACTTGGCCAGGTCTGGGGCACCCACCTTGTCGGCTCTTCCCAGGTAGTTGGTTGCAAAGAACTTCGAGTCCAGTGCCTTCAGGTTGGCGAGAATTTGGCCAGCAAAAGCCTCGTGAAATTCAAAAACATCAATATCACTAATTTTGAGGCCAGTACGCTCCAAGAGTTTGCTGGTAACATAGGCAGGTCCAAGCAGCAACTGGTCCTTGGGGTCCTGCGACACGTACAGGTGCTGTCGGAGGAAGGCCTTGGGCTTCAGGCCCAGCTCCTTAGCCTTCGCCTCGGTGGTGATCAAAGCCGCCGAAGCGCCGTCTGTTAGGTAGCTCGCGTTGGCTGCAGTGACCGTGCCATGTGGCTTGATGAAAGCAGGCTTCAGACTGGACATCTTCTCAATGGTAGACAGGCGAACACCATTGTCTTTGGTGACCATGCCCTTTTTGCTGACAAAGATGGGCTCAATGTCGCTTAGATTGCCATCCTTGAACGCTTTATCAGCCAGTGTGTGAGAACGGAGAGCGTATTCGTCCTGTTCTCGTCGCGACACCTTGAAAGCAGCAGCAAGACGGTCTGAACTGTGGCCCATTACCTCTTGCGAAAAGAATTCGCTGATTGCCGGAAGCTACATTGATACGGAAAATTGTTGCTCAATAAAATATGCAAATGTGATAACAAACCTCAGGAGCAAAGTAGTCTGGACGTATCTGGGTGGCCAAAGAGAGTCGCTGACCAAGAGTTTTGGCCTTGTTTACTTGAAGCAACAGACGACGCATCTTTCGTGAATGGCGAATAGGCACATCGCTCATTGTCTAGCAAAAAATACGAGTTTAGTTTGATAAAAACAAACAAACATTCAATCCTGTACCTCAACACCTCCGGTGACGACCACGTCATAGGTGCCCGAGTTGATATATCCAATGGCACTTGTAATTGCCTGATTTGCAGAGACGCAAGCCTGAGTGACAGTGTTTGCAGGTATGTTCAGAGGGAATCCAGCAGCTGCAACAATAGCAAAAGCATGTTAATGTCAGCTCAAACTTCAAAGCTTCAATATTTACCCAAAACGGCCTCTCGAGCAACGTTTGGAAGCTTTGGTTCAGCAATGACAGTGCCGCAAATCACGTAGTCAATCGTTTCCTTTGGGATGTTTACTCGCTTCATAAGAGCTCTGGAAAGACAAACATGTATGAAACAAACAAAAAGACCATACAAACATTTGCTAATTCTTACACAAGGGCATCACGTTGCAGTTCATACGCCATCAGATCATTGTAGTCCGTCTGGGACATTGTAAAGGGTGTTCGCACACCCTCAATGAGGACGATGTTCTTTCCGTAACGGGCATTGTCAAACTTGTAGCCCGATGCAGCGGTGGATGCGGCACGGACCAGTGTGGGCACTGGAGCCAATCGGTTGAGACGGGTCAACGACATCATTTCACAGCTCAGAAATGGCTCAGGTTTCCTCAAGAAATGCCAGGTACTTCGTGACCGCTTTAGCTTTTTCTTCTGGAGAATAAATCAAAATCAACGGCAAGAGTGCGCCTGTGTTGTCACTTCTCTTGTTCGAAGTATGAATGTACTCGAGCAGTGTTTGGCTAAAGGTAACCGGCTGATAAATAAAGAGTGAGAGAGAGAGGTAGCGGTATAACGTCGCTAAATGAGTACATTGCCGACGACGACAGACTCCAAAGGCATCTCTTCACCAAAACAAAGAGCAATGGCAAAATTGACCAAAATTGATCAAGCAAAACCTTGGACACTTTGCATATTGTTAAAAAGTAAATTTTCTTCTGATTGCAGATATAGCGCTGTAAAAGTAATCCTGAAACGCGTTCCTATGAAAATCGGGTTCAAAAGTTAACCAAATTGGCTAGTTTCATCGAAAAATCCGCCAGGTGGCTTTTACTGTAACAGAGCTGACAGTTGCGGTTTTTGACCAAAGTTTCTTCGAAACCCTTGGTGATTACTTTAATACAATGACATCTGTAAATAGCATAAAACTAACTTTTCAACAATACACAATGCTNGCTTTTACTGTAACAGAGCTGACAGTTGCGGTTTTTGACCAGAGTTTCTTTGAAACCCTTGGTGATTACTTTTATACAATGACATCTGTAAATAGCATAAAACTAACTTTTCAACAATACACAATGCCTTTGATGTTTCATTTACTCAAATTAGGTCCAATTTTCCCGTTACTCTTTTGGGCTATTCAGCGTGGACGAATACTGCGGTTTTTCAAAAGTTAATTAGCGCGGAAAGTCAAAACTTGGAAAGCGACACTTCGAATTTGTGTCAACAATGTTATTTACAGTGCAGTTAATNCTCTTTTGGGCTATTCAGCGTGGACGAATACTGCGGTTTTTCAAAAGTTAATTAGCGCGGAAAGTCAAAACTTGGAAAGCGACACTTCGAACTTGTGTCAACAATGTCATTTACAGTGCAGTTAAGGAGAAACAGTGCTTTGAAAAACTATTATTACCTAAACTATTCGGGCATTTCATTTCTGAAAAACAATGAGAAACCGTTTTGAGATTGCCTTTTGCTTTATCGTCATTTTTGCTGAATTTAACTTGATTAGTGCGCAAAATGGGCAAGAGTCTAGCTGTACCAAAGCTACTGCATTTAGTAAGTAGGTTAAAAACTTTTCAATTTAAAAATCCAGTAACAATCTTTTTACGAAGGCATTGCTTTCGGAGCAATAAGCCTCTTTGAAGTGGCAGCCATTGTCTGTCTTGGCTGCTACATGCTTCGATTGCAAAAAGATGTAGACGGCTACAAAAATGTTGTGGATGCCTTTATGGCCGGTGTCGGAACAAAAGGAAAACAAATAAACACAGAAACAACTGAAAACGATGCAAGCAAATTTATTAAATTGAAGCAACAGTCCAAAATCCGCGGTACACCTTCCAGCTCGAAGCAGGAGCAAGACCAAAAACGAAAGAATCCTTCGAAATCTCCAGTAACTGGCGGTTCTTCTAAAAAGAAGAAAAAAGCAAAAGGCAATACCCCAAAAGAAAAGAAGAAAATGTTGGCAGAAAAACCAAATGCCGAGGAAGGCACATCTGAAAAGAGTGTCACTCAAGACAAAGAGTCGGTTTAAAAATTCACAGTATTCTGAAGCGACTCTAATTCTTTATAGAACTAGCTTGTCTAGTAAAGCTAAAAAACAATACTTTTAGGCAGAATAAACCAGAGATCACCTGGTTCAGTACCTGGCAAAAAGTAGCCGTGTCATGCAAACTTGACTGAGATGATCTGCAACTTTTCATTTTCAGTTGTTGGCAAGTTTGCATCAACGCGCATCGACAAAGCCTCTGCTCTGAAAGAAAGCATGAGTTTACTCAAACTCGTTCCAACCTTTACTGTAGCTACTATCAG